AATATCACTGTTGTAGAAGGCTAATTTGGAGGTGAACATCTATTTTTAAATATGCCAATTTTTCTTTGGTTATTAACATGGTCTTAGCTAAGCAATCCACAGTTTCCTTTGTTTCCTGCTAAGGTTTGACACATGAGGGCATTTGTGAAATAGTTTTATTTTGGGGGATGGAAGAGGAGAATGAGAACAGAAGTCAGAGGCTGCTTTTCTTTTTGATTAGGCTGTATGTCTTCATTCTCTTTTCTGTGTGAGGAAAATGTTGAAAGTGTTTGTCAGGTTGGGGGCTGGACTGGATTGTCCATGTCATCCTGCTACTAAACAGACCTGCAAACTGCAAGTTTTTAAGGAAATAGAGAAAGTTTGAAATTGAGCCAGTAACATAAGGGATGTATGTGTATAATGTGAGCAGGTAGAAGATACATACCTTCTGTGTGCGTATGTGTATCTTTATCTTCATGTGCAATGAGAGAGAGAGGTTAAGCAAGGTGCTCCCTTGAACTTTGATTTAATTTTGAGTCTGGTTCACGCCTCTGTGCCCAGCAGTGTTTGTGTGGAGTAAGGGAGTGGGGGAGGGAGGGCAAATCTTGTTTCTCTAACTCAGGTGTGGTCTCTCTTGCAGCTTGCTCTTTTTGCATTATAAAATATAAAAAACATATACTCCCAAATTCTGATTCCCTCTATTCCTTCCATTTCCTCCTGTGCATTTCTGCTGCTCTTAAAATGTCTATAAATGTCAACCTCTACCCTTAATGCTTATTTGTAGTGCTACATGAAATAGCCCACAGAGTGATCTGAAGGATTTGCTAGAGTTGTTGATGTGCTTTGTTTACCACCACCACCCCTTGCAGGATCCAGTGACCATGACAGAGCAGCAGAGTAGCTTATTGTTGCTGAGCTTGCTAGTCTCTTCACATTTGTACCTTCCTTGAGCTATCCTGTTTGTCAGAGACTGTGAGGAAAAATAGGAGACTAACGACAGGTTCTAACGACAGACCCAGGACTACAAGACTCCTTTCCAGAGCAGATGATGGTAAATCTGATTGTTCAGAGCAAATACCATATTACTCCTTTTATTTATTTAGCTTTCAGACAGAGTCAGCTGGAAAGAGGCAAGAGGGAAGGGTTCAGAGAACAGGTTGTAGTCAGGGATGAAAGAAGTTCCTGAATGTAAGCAGGGAAGTGGGGGTGACTGTTTACTTGCAGGGGTTTGCTGTTCATCCCAAGGTCTTCCTGAAATGTTAAGAGATAAGCAGAGCAGAAATGATCTAAAATTAGGCCAAAAACTGGTGTGAGATAAGGAGAATGTAGAGAGAAGAGAAGAGATTTATTTGTTGATCCTTTTTTTGATTAGATAAGTACTAAGATCTTAGTCTGAACTACTGACATTCTCTCTTACTTATGGCAACATTGCCATAGAATATTACATTCTTAGAGAGCATAGAATATTTAAATTACAACTCATTATGTCAAGTTTGTCTGTTCTTTTGGGATGTCAAATTTCAGATTAATTCAGATTAGCATCTCTAAGAAAAAGGCAGACTTTCAATCCAATCCATGTGCTGCTTCCCAAGACATCCATTTTCATGGTTGTGTACTAGCCAACAGTGATGCTGACCTGTTGTAAATAAATACTGAGGAAAAAGATGGGACGATTATAAGAAACTGTTTGAGAAGACTAGGAAGGGTGTTACAGAATAGTGAATAGGCCTCTAATTAACAAAGAAAAGATTGATCCATCTAACAGCTAAGGACTATTGCTGCTTTGGATTTCAGGGGTTTTTTATGTATCTTAAAATGCTTTGTTTTTAACATCTGCTAGTTAGTCCACTGAGTTTGAGCGCTGTCCCTTAGTTTGTCTGAGAGAGGCATTAAGAAAGTGCATGCTTTACTGTGCAAAAGCCTTCCAAAAGCTGTCCCATGCCCTTATTCATGGCCACTAAGTGGACTGGCATCCAGTGCTCTGTCAAAAGCAAATGATTTTGTTGTCTAGATAGGCTGTGAGTTATGTTGCTGAAGAAGGTTGCAGGACTTGCTGTGCACTTTAAGAATCCAGTATCCACCGTAGGCATTAGGAAGTCAGCAACTTTAATGGCTTTAAGAGGTTTTGATTAGTCTCTGCACAAGGCTTTTAGTCTACAGTACTATTCCTTTGTCTTCTGGAATAGTGCATTCACAAAAAAATACTAAATGAAACTTCATCAGTAATTCTCTGATTTCAGCAGACATGATAAAAAACGGGTGAGGGGTTAACACGTTGCAATACTTCAGATATTCTAGGTAAGATGTCACCAGAGGTATTTAAATGTCATTTATCTATGTTCCTATCCAAGTCCAAGAACAAGCTGCCATCGACCATGAGTGTGGTATTTCAGCCCAGGGTTTTTTTTTCAAATATCAATGAAATTCACTGTTCATTCCTATTAATATATAGCCTCTGTTTAGCCAGAATTAGATTTTTCTTGGAAATAGCACAAATATTCTGATTTTTCCATTAAGCAGAATGTGGTCCTGCCTTAAAAATGCCTCCAACAACAACTAACATCTAATAGTAAAATGCATCAAAGGCTCCCTGCCACATCCACTGCCAGACAAATAACATTAAAAGGACTTAGCCCAGATCTCCCTACATGCAAAGTGGAAAGGGCCAGGTCCTCCCCCAAAATGAGTAGTTTCTACAGGTGTAATTCAAGTGCCCTAAGTTTCTGTGGTCAATTCACTGAAAGCCTCCCTTACTGGGAGGATTTAGTGGTGAAAACTGGCCTGGTGTGACAGTGAGAGAAGTGAGGTGGTGCAGCAGCTAAACAGGTGAGAATACTGGAAAGGGTCATGACATCTACTTTTGTAAGGAGAAAGCAGCAAAGCTGTTTCAATTATACCACAGCTATTGTGGAGAGAAAAAGCAGTTTCTAAAAAAAGGTTTGGCTTTCAGTGAGAACTTGATGGGTTATTCAGAAGAGTGTGAATACAAGAACTCCTGCACAAGTTCGTGCTCAGATCTGTATGGCTCAACTCAGGGAAGACTTTTTGCTTTAGACAAAGGGTACTTAAGAGAGGAAATGTAAGTTTCAAAGAATTCTTCAGCAAGAGAAAGACCAATCAGCATTTTTGTTCAGAGCCACAATTGAAGGACTCAAGTTGCATGTTAATACAAATCTCACTGGAGATTTGTTCACTAAGAGAGAATGGCAGAGGAGAGAGGAGTAAGAGATTTAGGGTGTGAGTAGCTGATTTCTGCAGAGAAATAACATGAATCTGCTTCACGGTTACTCTACCGTAAGAACATAACCACTAAACATCTGAATTGTCTCAGCCCTGAGCAAACAGTTACTGATTAGCTCAGAGTTTACTTGGGGAACTAAGTCTACTTTCTTTAGGAAGGACAGGTAAAAATGTTGCAAAAGTTCCTATTATGTTGCTTCCCTAATTTGCAGTCTTCCTCCTCTTAAGTCTTGATTTGAGAACTTTAACTTCCTTATGTGTTAGAAAATTCTCATTTGAAAATAGTGTTGAAGTTCTCTGTCCCTTATTTCAGACTTGAAAATCACTTACTGTATTTTCCTGATATCCTGTGTTCACTTCTGCCCTGAAGAATTTTTGCAACTGAAATAAATTAAAAAAAAAAACTAAGCCAAACATAGTTTGTCTCTTTACACAATATATCATGCTGTCACCTACTGCAAGGAATGATTAATAATTTTTAGGATAGTGTATGTCATTGAAAACATTAGATTAAAACAAAACATATTGTCTGTGTTTACAGAATCAATGAAAATGCTGAGACATTTAAAAACAAATGCTGAAATAACTATCACTGAGATAAGGAAAAATGTGTATAAAGCCAGGAATCACATAAAAGGCCAAAGTCCAATAATGTCTTCAAGATTCTTGAGACATGACAATAATTTTTTCCCCAGTTATACCTTTGAAAAGTGGATTGTACTTTGTACCTGTAAGATCTCTAAACAGAAAAGAAACGAGGGAGTGTATAAGGCAGGGAAGGCTATATTGAATCTGTTGTGAGAAACATCATTTGGAAGGGATGATTTTGTGGCCTGAGATGTCATTGTCTCTGATATATTTTTGCATGAAACAGTGATATCTACTTTCCTTAGGTATATTTTTGTCTAGTCTCCCTTTCAACAAGCTGCATCTATCTGTATGCATTTGGGCCCCAACTTCCTCTATGCTCCATGTGGTACACAAAACTAACACTCAGCTGTGATCTACCTAATAAGTGTAGGTGTTTGAAGTATCAGGCATTAGCAGCCCAGCAAAGAAGTGTTGTTACAGCTTGCAGTGGAGGGCCTGTGTTGCATGTCAGGAATGGTGTGAAACATGAGGATATTGTAGCATGCAAACTGGAACAGAGATTGAGAATCATGTAGTATAGAGGAAATTGGATGCTGAATTCTCCATGCTGCCTTTTAGGAGTGATCTTTGGATTGGACTGTCACCAAAACCATGGTCAGATGTTTCATTGGTTACTGTTAAGTGTTTTTGAGATAGCAAGACTTCTCTAGAGCATGAAAAATAATTGAAAAAATATGAAAAAATGAATGTAAAATGATACTGATTTAATTGAAGCTGTTGAACAGTATTGAAGTAAGTGAACAACACAATACTATATTGCTACCATTTTACACTTACCTTCCTGTGTGAGTGTTTTATAATGGGCAATACAGTGGGAGAGTAAGTGCAGTGTTAATTTTTTGTGTGTTTTTTGATTTACATCAAAGTCTAAATAGTAGGTTTATTTGTAAGTTCTCTTTGACAGAAACTGAGGAGAAGTACCACACAAGAATGAAGCTGGCATTTATTCACTCAGAAGATATGTATATATGTTTCCAGCATATTCTAATCCAGATACTAGACTTGAAGTCTTTCAAAAGTAGCATTCTAAAAGTCCACAAGGAACACTTCTCCCAAGAACTCTTGTTTATGATATTTGTAAATCCTGACAGTAAAAGAACAATTAACCTCTTAGCTTTTCTTTCATGTAGGGTGATAGCTCCTATGTAAAGGATCGTTGGTGTGTGTTTGATGGATTCATGGTCTTTTGTCTTTGGGTGTCACTGGTTTTACAGGTAATCATTTCACTTCTTTTTTTCAATAAATGGTTTCTTAATTGTGAAAAATATATGGCACAACGAAAAAATTGTGAGTTGTGGAAGTACAGTTGTACTTAGGTCAAATTGTTTTTAAAAAAATGTACTGAATTCAATAGCTCCATGATTGCACATTGCAGCATATCTGCATTAGTAGCAGAATTTATCTTGATTAATTTTTCTTATTTAATCTGAAGCTGGTTACCATAAACTCTCGGCATGGTCAAAAGGAGAAAGAATGATCTTCAGAGAGCCATTTATCCCTTACTCCATATGACAGTTGTGCTCATTTCCTTCCACTGAGTCTAGTAGGATGCCATGGTGACTAGCTTAGGCACCTAAGGGGAGAATGATTCCAATGGTAAATGTTTCCCATGCTGCAGGTGTATTGATGTGATGAGTGGAGTGGTTTCATGTAAGATTGATTGCACACAGCTAACAAAACATTTTCCAAGATTCAAGCTAAAGCACAATGGGAAAAACCCCCATATTTGGAAATAGTTTGATAAATTTTTATAAATAAGGGAACCTGGACATGTTGCAAAAAAGTACAGTGTTAAGGTAAAGGTCAAATTGTGTCCTACAGTGCTTAACCATAGGCAGTTTTTTGGGTAGCAACAGGTTGAAGACTCTGACATTTGACCTGTGATAGTGTAAGGATTGTAAAAGTTCTGTAGTGATTGCTGTTAGGCAAGTATACATTTCTGACAAATTTCAGACACGTTATTTTCTGCTTTTTACACAGGGCAGACTTTGGTGGTACATCCTGTACACATGTAGAATGAAGGTTGATCATTACAGATAAGCACTGTAGATTACCCAGTTTATGTGTGTCCAGGTTCCCCCTCCGTTTTCTTAGTACTCTGAATAAACATTAAATCAAGTAGTTACTTTAAGAGAGTGATAGACAAGGATTAAAACAAGACATTTTCACCCAATCATTTAGCTAAATACTCTTTATGGAGTGCATAATTTATCAATGTATTGAGGAAATGGTTCCCCATTCTGTGTCTTGGCTGAAATTTGTGTCATAAGTGGAGTCTAGGAGAAAAAGATGCACAGTTTTGTCATGCACTTGGAATTAAATGGAGAATTCATAAGCATGTTGCAACTCATCAGGCAATCTGTGTAGATGTATTTTTATATCATAGTAAAAACCTTAGTGCAGTGCAACATTATCAGATACTGATTTTCATATTTGGAAATATATATTAATCACTTCTAACAAAGTTGTGGGAAACTTATGGGGTAGGACTAGCACAGAAATAGGCAGCTAACACAAGCTTGCAGAGTCTTCTTGAGTTGTTTGAGACTGAAGCATTATGAGCATGGGCAGAGTATATTTTTGGAAGCTCATTAGGATACTTAGAAATGGATTAAAGTATTTGCAAAGACTTTTTTAAAAATGTGGTTAAAATGAACCATAAAATAAACCAAAAAAACACTGAAAATTAAAATAAAAAATGTGTAGTATTCATACTTTTAAAAGTTCTATAAATGAACATAGGCATAGGAGAGAGTCATCAAGACAAAGTACTGATTCTTTTCTTTGTAGGTGTTTGAAATTGCTGAAATAGTTGACCAGATGTCACCTTGGGGCATGCTGCGGATTCCACGACCGCTCATTATGATTCGAGCATTCCGGATATATTTTCGTTTTGAGCTGCCAAGAACTAGGATAACAAATATTTTGAAGTAAGTAAGGCTATTATTCTTCAGATAATAGAGAATATTTCAGTGTTGGGTTAGAAGACTGACTATGCAGTAAATCAACGATCCTTCATGCTTAATGGGCATTTTCCTCCTGAGTTTTAGTTCTGGCCAAAAATTCTTGCTATTTTCCATATTTAAGGAATAATCAAGTTTTATAGAAAATGATCAAAACTTTCATATATTTAAACACATTTTAAAGCACTTTGCTAATAACTGTACCCAGCAATTTGCAACCAATGGCAGTAAATTCTGTTCCATTAATATCGCCATTTAATAATCAAGGTGAATACCCTTACTAGGGTAATATTTGTAAATAAACGTACATGAGCACAGGCCCTAACCATTACAGTTACAAGTGTACATGTATTGGTGTGTATGCAGAGATGCCTATTTGCAAGCAAACACACGCACGTGTTAGAGCACATCATCGCAAAAAGCATAATGGTAATGTGAAAAAGTTTTTTGGTCTTTATTCAGTATCAATTTTATTCATCACCATATCTTGTCTATATAAGTCATTAGATACTATTTTACAAAAGCTAGACTTTATACATTTTATTTGGGCGTTTTTGTTCTACCCTTTACAGCTTACAGCTGGTTTAATTACCCTAACTTAGGGATTTAGAAAAAATCATGTCCCCCTTTTCTTTTTGTGCAGAGTAAAAGTACAGTTTTAAGGACAATTTTTCTGCAGGATGAAATACTACTTTCTTTGTATGAGCATATTTTCTATTCTAGAAATTTTCAGAGGAGGCTTCACATTGCCTGTGTATTCAGAGTCCTGTTTGTCTTTTGGCCAGGCGTTCTGGAGAGCAAATCTGGAGCGTTTCAATTTTTCTTCTGTTCTTTCTTCTCCTATATGGGATCCTGGGAGTGCAAATGTTTGGAACTTTTACGTACCATTGTGTGACCGACGACACGCAACCAGGGTGAGTTAACCTGTGCAGGGCCTGTTCTTTCCTTACATATGTATAATTGTAGTAGCATCAGTGGATGTAAAATGAACTTAATAGATTAAAAGCAATCCACCAAAATACATTAAGGTAAATTGGGGAAACAAAAATATTAGAAATTATGAAAAATACAAATTTTAACTGTGACAGAGAGGTTACAAATTGTGTCATTTGGCTGCAGTCTGAGTTAGAGAGTGAGTGACTGTATGTGGTGTGGGACAGGGAAATGAGAGAGCAGGAGAGCAGAGGATACTTTTAAGAGGAGCATTGCCATTTGTGGCTGCTCTGGGTCACTGACGGTTTATCAGGTTTTGCGCTCTTCTATCTTTTCCTAGAATGTCTTGATATGGGGCCAGACCTAAAGTATGGAGCAGAACCACCCCTGGAATCATAGAATCACAGAATAGTTTGGGTTGGAAGGGACCTTTAAAGGTCATCTAGTTCAGCCCCCCTGCAATGAGCAGGGATATCTTCAACTAGATCACGTTGCTCAGAGCCCTGTCCAACCTGACCTTGAATGTTTCCAGGGATGGGCCATCTACAACCTCTCTGGGCAACCTGTTCCAATATCTCAGGCCCTTTCTGGATTAATAGTTTGCTGGGATCTGATGCTCAGATTTAAAGACCCTTTTTGTCCAGCTTCTGCAAAATACTTATGATATATATTTTACACTAGTAATTGAGTATACATCACATTTTGATTCAATATATACTTAACCACCTTGAAGTACAATAAAGCCTCTTGTCACTGTGATGACTGATAAAATCGCAGATAATATGCTTACATGTCCTGTTGAGTTGAGGACTTGACTGTGTCCTTGAGCACCATTACATTGTGAGAGTCTTTTACATCTATTTCTTTGTTTCGTCCCTGTTTCTTTGGACAGTAAAATGTTAGCTCTGGAGTTGTGGTCTTTGTTTTAGTCAAAATGAGATCCTTTTATTGCTGTATTGAATTTGTCAGAACATAAAATAAATAAAGTAAATATGGTAAGAAAGCGAAACACCACTTAGTCTGCTACTGAGCTCAGTAGGTCTCATGATCGCAAAACTCTGTATTAAAGATTTTTCTAAACTAGGGCCTAAAAACTATCAAATATAAAATGAGAGCATTAAAAGCAGCAGATTCAAAAAAGAGTGCAAAATTATTTGAGAATATGCTAGATATTTTATGGTACTTTGTTAAATGAAAAAAATAATTTGGGATATTTTCTTACTTAATTAATCAATAATATAGTAAAATGTGGAACTGATCTTCACCTAGACTGAACATTTATTCCTTTTTTCTAACTCTTTTTTTTAGAGAAAATCTTTATAGGACAGATTTTTTTTTTTTACTATTTCCCATAGACATGAGAAAAAAATTCTTTGTGAAAAATTTGTTTGTGGTAATAAGAAGATATGTAATTCTGCAATTTACAGAATGTTATTTGGAAAAACAAGAAGTGACATAGACAACACAAGAAAGATCAGGCATCATGTAATTGCTTGTGTTGGTGAATACAGCTTTTCCTTGAAATCAGCAGAAAGAGATGAAATGGGACATAATAATGTTTGCAATATGGAAATTTAAATTTATAACTTTAAGGCATTCCATTAAGTTTTGGCTGCTTTCTCTGCATGTGTTGGGTTGCTCTCTAAATATGGCATTATTAAAAAAAAAAAAGTATACAGAAACCCCCTAAATTTTAGGTTGTTGAAGGGCTGAATTACAGGAAAAGGTTAAAAGCTACAAATATCCAGTGTATAAAATAAAATTTAAAATCTGCCTAGGTGGGGTTAATGTTCAAAAATTCAAGTGTGCAGAATCAGGGGAATTTTAGACTTGATGTTGACCATGTACCCCAAACCCCTTTTCCTTTCAGTTTCATCAAGTTTATATCTTTTTAGCTGTTTAAAAATTAGAAATCTAGTTTAAGTTACTTTTTAGGTACCCGGGAACCAGATTTATGACTTAAAATGGCTCCCATGGTTGTGTGTGAGGACTGCAGTTACATTGGACACCACTTTTTTTCCCTGGAAATGTTCCCACATTTATTCTGATGAATGGTGCTCACACCAAGAACAATATACTTTTTTTCTTTGTTGCTTGACATGTGGATTTTTACCTTAGTCTTGGCATACTGCTTCTTCCTACTCTGAAAACACTGATTTCCTCTTCTTGTCTGTAACATTCATCATACACCCCCTGGGAACACTTGCCCCTATCTCTTCTGTGTTTAATTTTTGAGGAATGCAGTGCAGAAGGTCAGAGTGGAGTTGGCATGTGCCTTCTTCATGTGGGTCAGGGCTGACCTTTCCAGAGCTAGTTTATTAGCTGGGATGTAATAGAGCACAAAAGCATGAAAATTGCCTAGCCAAGTTTTACTTGTCTTTGAGGTTCAGTTTCTCAACTTCATAATGAGGATTAAACATTCCTCTTAGAGGTTGAGTTGGTCAGTCTGTCTGTCTCAGGTGGCTCTGTTCCAGGCAATGGAGAGTTGCCAAAGTTGGCTGTACTTGTCCTTAATTAACTTCAGAGTCTTTAATGAGCCACAGCTGTAAATTTTCAGCAATCCAGATCCCAGGCTCCCAAGTGAGGATTAGAAAATGAAAGCCATCCAATTAGCAACCACCTATGAGAAGTTTAATTTTAGGTGATTTTCCTGGTATTATGCAGAATTCTATGTCAAGCATGTCATGGTTTGAAAACAGCCTCAAAATCCAATTCTGATTCCTAGCCCCCCTCCCACATCTCAACCCAGTGTGAGATGGGTTTTCCAGACAAAAACACAAGACTCAATATGGGGGGAAGGAATATATTACAGGACTGTACAAATAAATACTTATACTATAATACATTACATATAATCTTAACTCTATTTCTATCTCTACCATGACAATAATATTTACAGTGGGCCAAATCTCTTCTCCCTCCAAATAAAAGTCCAGGAGAGAAGAAGAAGAAAAGACCCCTTCCAGTCTCTCAGCAGCAGGTCTCTCTAGGCAGCAGGGTCTCTGTGTCTTTTCTTCTCTTCCAGAGAAGAAACAGCAGAAGCAGTTGCTGGCTCTCTACCAGCACACACGAGGGAGGCCTCCAAGCCTCTCTCGGCCTCTTGTCTCCAAACAAGGGGTCTTTCCGTGGGCTGCTTTACCCCAGACAAGGTTGCTCCACCACGGTCATATCACGAAGCACAGGGGTCTTCGTGATGGTCTGGTATCCTCACGGGAGTCAAGCCCCTTCACAGAGCTTCTGTGCTCTGCACCAAGATGGCTGCCAGCTTCTCCAAAGCTGCAGCAAGGCGAGGGCGAAGGTCACCCCACACACACACACATTCCTTTGGCCGTCCTGGCTTAGCCCTCAGGAGGCCGGAGCTTCTTAGCTCCTCTCTGTAGTGCATACTGCACTCCAAGACTCTTTCAAGTGAGTTCAATCATCCTCCTCTCTCTCAGAGGAGTCTCCAAGGGAGTTTGGGGGTTTTGGTTATTCAGTTCTTACCCCCTGAAACTCTGTCCCTGCTGCTGGCTCAGTTCTCTTCCTGTTGCTGCTTTTTCCTTCTCCTCAGACAACTCTGTGTCTGCCTTGGCTGCATACCGGCTTCTGCTGCTTCTTCTTATCTGCTGGCTCTTTGCCACTGCTCTCGGACGCTGCTGTCCCTGCTGCTCCGTCGCCCACTCACAGTGGAGAAAACTCCTCCAACTTCTCAGCCACAGGCACTTAGTTCAGTTCAACACCATTCCAGCCGGGGCTGGGGGGGGGGCTGAAGCCCCAAGGGGCTCCGAGCCCCTTCCTTGTGGCCTCACCACAATATGGCCACCTCTTCTTCCAACAAGTACAACACCTTCTTTTCCAGTGGAGAGATATGTTTAGATTTTGCAGGAGCACTGATTGGGTCAAACCCCAAGGGTTACCACCCCCTCGGGGGTTACCACTTTTAGCTTCAGGGGTAAAACCTGGTTCAAACCACTACCATTTCACAAGGGTGAAATCTTATTTTTGCGGTCAAGGCTTCATCTATTTGTGGCATTTTAGAAATCACTCTTTTTAAGTCTACTGCCTTTTGAAAACGGCATCTTAAAATCTTGCTATTCTTTTTTATTTGAAAGGACATGGTATCCTCATCAGACAAACATTGCCTCTTTGACTGCTGCAAGTTCTTTTATCTTTCCATCCCTCTTGATGCCCACACTGCCTGACCTCCTGTCTCTCCACCTCCTCAGTCATTTTCTGATGTTAACTCTGACAAACAGAAATACTGAAGTGAGCTAACTGCAGTCTGAGTTTTCATTCTGTCTGAGAAACCAACAGAATCTGACTCCCTTCCAAGGACTGAAAAATTTATTGTTGTTGTTTGGTGATAAGTCCTTTTTTCCTTTATTCTCACAATAGTCTTCCCTATAAGGAACATTGTCTTCTTCCTAGACAATTTTATCATTCATTATTCCTTCATGATTATGACTTATCTTTTTTCAGCTATGCAGTAATAGCTTTTCCCTGATGATTTCTCCAAGCAATATATCTTTTTTCTGTCAATAAGTGGTATATTACATGAATTTCCTTTGAACAGATCTTCTTTAGTTGCATGAAAGACACACTGTATAGTTGGAATGTAATCTATATTAATCCAATTATCTTGATAAATCCATACATTATAAGCAGTTTGATAGTTTTTTTTGTTATATCTGAGATTAAACTCAAAGAGTCAAACAAAATAAAGCGAAAATAGTTGTGTTCCCAAAGCTACTGTAATTTAGTCTTGGTCACCTCTAGTATATAAAATGTACTTCCACAAGGACAGGAGAGAGAAAATCTTTCCAAACCCTTCCTGTGGTTGTTAGAATATTTTATATATCCTCACATGCTAGCTACTGAATGTTTTCTTTATTTTTATTCCCAAGACATATTTGATTACACAATAATGCTTCCAAACCACATGATTAGTTTATATTTATCATATATTATATAATATATTTACATTATATTAAATATAGTTTAT